GACAGGTTGTAAGCTCTCTGTGGTGGTGGCGTTAAATACTAGCCTCACCTATGATTTTTCGGTGAAACTACGGACTCAGGGACTGCCGATCTTTTTTTTCTTTTTCCCTTTTTTTATCTTTAAAAGTTTCATTTGAATTTTTTTCTCGGTTTTGCTATGAAGCCAACAATTATCTCTATAATGGAGCTAACCTGCTATATACAATAAATAAATCTACTATATTCGCTGACTACTTAAATAACATTAATATAATTTGATTAATATGGTAAATTAATTTGTTGTATATAGAATGTTGGTTCAACTATTGAGCCAACTATTGACTTTATGACAATACTGTTTTTTTCTATTGTTCCATTTTTGGCAATTCATGATAATTATTGCAATCGTGCTTTTTCTTTTTGCCTAAATTACATGTTTGAAATTTAATACCTTGCTTTCGTTTGCAATTTAATCATAACTTTTCAGTCTTGGTAATAATAGATACAAGCTTTTGTTTTTTGCAAATTTAAATACACAATCAACAAAAACAAAGTGAATGTTCTAGCTAGTTTTATGTGTTTCACTCGGTATACTACATCAAAATAGGAAGGATATGTCGAAAATTGAAAAAAATAAATAACAGAATAATACATCCTTCTTACACAAAATATGGAGTTCTTGACCAACAGGGGTTGACTCAAGTGGTAAGCAGCTTAATGTCGCTTAAGCAAGGTCTCGAGTTCGACTCTTTGTGGATGCAGAAAATCCTGGTTGGGAGGTTCACCCACCACTGCAAGGTGTGCGACCCAGGTCGACCAACGAATTAGTTGGGGCTCATTGTAACTATTGAAAAAATTGAAGAATTTTAAATTCACGACCCACTCATATATTTGTGCGGCTTTATTTAATTGTGTATATTTGTGTATTTACTGGTGTAACACATTCTCATTCTTGTTTTTACTTTTTTTTTTTCCCTCATTTGTAACATGTCTCCACCTCAGATATAACGAGCCAGATATAGAAGCATTTCACATATATTTCACTGATTGCGATCATATATTATTCGGCACGCATTTCCGAATAAATAGTCAAGTTATTGAGTAGTGAATTTTTTTAAGCAGCAATGTAAACATTTTTGGTAATAATCGTCTGATACGCATGTATATGGTCGTGGTAAGGTTGGGCACTAGCTGATACATGGATATAAGTTATTGAGTACTGGCGAAATTTTTTCAGCAAGCACTGCACTTTAGGGAGTAAAGTATATGTTAGGGTGTGTTTGTTATGAAAATATTCGATCCCTACTCAAAATCTGACGCAATGTTAACCCAACCTTACTATCGGTTATCCTCAATATTATCAATACAACTATTCATACCACTTTTTTTACAAAAAAAATTAGTCTCATTAACCAAAAAAGCTCGTTTTGAATTTAAAATTCTTCAAAGGTGATTGTTCATCTAAAATTGATTTAAAAAACAAAAAAGGAAAACATTTTGCTAATGACCCTGGAGCATTGGACCACACGTAATGATGCAACCAACAAATTCAATGCCTAGAAATAGGAGTAAAATTGCATACCTAGTTAAATAGTTAATTGTACTTGTTTGATATACCTAATAATGTGAACCAATTTATTATTATTATTACTAAAACATCACCCATTTAATTTAATAATTATGTATATTGAAGTTATATGATTTCCATTGAAGAAGTAACACACAACAAAATTTCTATATTGATATATTGGACATGCAAACCGCATAACACTTTGGTCGCATGAACGAGACTAGCTAATAACTAATAGGTGCATCCGTGCATGCACCACCATAGTGTACATAGGGTTTTTATATACGTAAATCGCGTTACATATTTACAAATACATCTCAGTTTGATCGGTGAAAGTTCGAGCTTAATTTATTTGTATAATTAAAGAACTGAGTTGAAACAACTACTTGAGTTTTTTTTTTTAATTGAATAAGTTGAATTGTATTAAATATTAAACACTCGTTGTGAATAAATGAAGATTTTATGATTAATTGACTATTTGTTTTCAAAGGTGTGAGGGCCGGACCAAATTGAACTTGAAGCATCCAAAATCGAGCTCGCAATTCCAGTTTTATTTTAAATGAATCGAGTCGTAATTACTCATTTATTAAATGAACACGAGCTCACATACGAGATTTGTGAGAAAAAATTTACTAACATCTTCTTAATTCTTTTGTTATTATTATTTTATTATTATTATTTGAAATGTGACACAAATTGGGAAGCCTTATTTACAACTGGTCAGCAACTAGCAAAGTACTTTGAATTTGATATTGGACCTTTTGACTTTATCATAAGTTGAATCTCGTAATCCCGTGAAAAAATCTGAATTTATAGCAAATTTTGGTACCGTTGAATGTGAGTCAACTAAAAAAATAAAAAAAAAAAATAAAAAAAATATACAAGACCAAACTTTATATTTTTACAAAAAAAAAAAAAAAACTGTCACCAAAATCAAATTGACTTTGCCAGCTGGATATTACTATTTGACTTTAGGATATACTATTTCCCGAATTTTAATGGTGGAGTAGCTGTAGACGTGGCAAGTTGGTGATACCTTTACGAGCTGAGCTGGCAGACATGCAGACAGACACGTGCAATTTTCTATTTTTCTCATATAAATCGTTGGACAAAACAATTTGTGGGTGTAATTTGAACGGGGCACTCCCAACAACCCGACAGCCACTTGCCCTTCATCAACTGTGCTGTTGGGACGCTGGGTAGCGGGTTGAGGTGGCAAACTCGGATCCTTACCCGGTTTTAGTACATTAAAATTCCCCTCGTGACTACAAAATTCAGTGTTTTATCATTTATGTGTCTTTTGTAATTGGGGTTGACTTTTGAAATTTATGTTCGATTGGATATGAATCTAAATTATTAACCACATGGTAATAAATTGTCTAGGCTTTCGCCTAAGTTCATCGTTCGAAATTTCTAATTTAAAATTATAATTGATAGGTTAGAAATTGGCGTGCGATCGTGGTGTCGAACCCTGGAGGTGGGAATTCCCTTCCCCTAGTAGTCGAGTTATGAATGCCTTCCTTCCCTCGACAAAGTCGCATCATCTCAATATTCTGTCGGTTCCGCTAGCTGACTGATCGATGATTTCATATGCGAACGATTGTAAGAACGTTGTAATAAAATAATGAAACTCCAGCGAAAATATTCAATTGAAATGATTTTTTCATTGGATTTTAATGATTAAAACAACAAATTTTCCAAACGTGCGAAATGAACCAAGTATAACATCTATTATCAGATATTTTGATTACTAATTTCATTGTCAATTCTTATTTTAAGATTTTGCAACAAATATCAACTAGTACTAATACCCAAGTATAACATGAGTGTTGAGTTAATGAATATATATGTAAAATTATTTATGTCTAATACCAAACCTAACTCCAAAACAAAAAAACAACATCACGAAGCATAGATTTTCGCCATGTCAGCATCTGAAGCGTGAGAATCTGCCACCTAGGCTCAACACGTTTTTTGAATTAATATATGAGTTGTTTCAAGGCTGGCTAGATATCTTGTTTTGATCCAATGAGATGGACTGCCTATATATATATCTCCGAATCTTAAGACACGATTAGCTGTGATGCTGCTCTTTTTGGACAATTATCTTATAAAATAATTAATTAAGGTTTTAATTTTGACATGATGAATTGACCTTGTTGAGTTCACACAAAGTAATACATTATTTTTTAATGGGGCCATATTATGCTTTGTATCTCTATCCTCGAAGTTTCTTGCAGCACATGATACAGGTTAACACGTTCTTAATTACATATTTAAGTTAATATTTATATATATACAAAGCCCACATTTTTTCATGCGATACCAAATTACTAATTAATTTAATTAAAAACTAGTACGTATCCCGTGCGATGCACAGATATATAAATTTGGAGAATATTATAATTTGACTTGCATTAGGATATATGAGAGTTTAATACATACGAACATTATTCATCATAAAATGTTCGTCACTAAAAAATCTTATATTATTAAAAACCTCTTTGTATACAACATATGAGTTTGATTATTGGGTAACTCGTTGTGAGGAGCACAGGCCGACTCGGGCCAGACGCGGGCTGCACAAAGGGATGCGGAAATTGGGCCTCACTCAACTGGGCTCCCTTGTTGGGCTTCTATCCTGGGCTGCAGATGCCGATTGTTGTCGCCAAAAAAATTGCCCCAACGCTTGGACAATTTTCTAATTTCCCACTATATTATAAATTATATTTTATTCCAAGTTTAACTTTTTCATTCCTATTTTATGAAGATAGTTATTTTACATTCCTAGCTATACTAATAAAGTATATTTATAGTTTGAATCATGTAACTTGTTTAATAGTGAGTTGCATAATTTATAGATAGAAACATAATTTAGTGATTCCCTCTAATTTCTCTCCCTCTCCCTTTTTCATATTTCATAGTATTTCACAATTTTCTCCAAATAAAACAAAAAATTACATAAAAAATTTTTTTAAGTTGACCATCAAATAAATCAAAATAAGACTGTAAATAAACGTAAAATTTTCCTTAATAATTTCTATATTGTTTTGAAAATAATAATTGCAATGTTTCAGGTTCGACACAAAATTGGTTTGTTTGTTTTTTATTAATTGTTTATAAATAGGCTATCTATCTTAATTTTTGTTCAAAGTTGGTTTATTTTTTTATTTTTATCATCAGATATATCAAGTTAGTCATCATTGGACATAAATATGCATTTAAATTTTAGCATGCATTGAGATTTGATGATAAATATGCATTTAGATTTTAACATGTGCAATATAAATGTAAAAAATACAGAGAATCTAATAACGCTAAATTTAGTTTATTGGACATGTGCACAACAATTAGAAAAATGTGATTTTCTAAATTAAATTTTCAGGATAAATGCATTGTCAAATCATAAATTTCCGCAAGCAAGAAGCTTGCTCTAATATATTATTCGAGATTTCAGTGCCGATGGCCATTTTTTTACGGTAATGCAAGTAGAATTTTGGTAAAGCCGTTTTTGCAAATCTGTAGATGAGAATGAATTTAGAAGAACCGTATTTATAAGAATATGTACATTATTAAAATATGAAAAGAATAAAGAGTCCTAAGAGTTGGAAACCGTGTAATTAATATTTAATTAAACATATAAATTATCGATCTACATATCTTAAATGATATGTTTAATTTTATAATACATATAAGTTGGATTTGTTTCCAACCACTACATCTTATAATAACTGATATGTAGAGATTTTCACAATTAAAAAAAAAAAAAAAATGCCACAACTGAAAAAATAGAATCCCAAAACTTGGAAACAATATAATTTTAAATTTAGTTAAACATAAAAAAGGGTTATAAAAATCATAGTTGATGACAAAGTATGTTTAATTTTAAAATTCCAATTAAATTGGATTTATTTACAACAAACAGAGGTTATGCCAAATTATAACTCTAATTTTATTTAGATATCTATAATATAAAACCCTTTAAAAGAGTCCCAACAGATGGAAACAATATAATTTTTAACTTTTTAAAACATAAAAAATAGGGCTAATTAAAAATATCATATATATATAATTTTATATTTCCCTTAAAATTGGGATTATTTACAGGAAAACAAAATCGTGTTACTAACTTATATGTTAGGTAATTAGAAATAAAAATGTATCCATAAAAACACGTGCTTAAAAAATTGTAATTATAAAAAAAATAGTTTTATGTCATATCAAAAAGTATTAATACACGTGTTATAAAAACAAAATCAAATATCAAATATAATTGTATTCATACATTTTCCGAATAAAATTTTATGCAATATTATGTAAAAAACAAATTAAGTGAATAGTAATCATTAAAGTGAATAATATTCATTATAAGAAATTGAGCCGCATTTTTTGGGAATGTTTATACCAAATTAATTACTGAAAATCTCCCGCACTTTATGGACATTTAATAGCTGAACGTGAAAAAAAAAAGTGAAAAGAAGTTGCCATTAATAGTAAATAATTAATGAAGAAAGAGATTTGACTAAAAATTGACCTGCCATTTTTTAAAATGGTAAATCTTTTTATATAGATATAGATAGATTAATTAACTTAATTTAAAATATATCACATTTTTAAAAATTGTATAGAAAAGAATATGACATTAAATTTTATATCATAAGTATGTATTTTATTAAAAGAATTTGATATGGTAACTAACCTACCAATTAGGTTGATTCTAATGTAATTTATTGGTTCTACTATTTTATTTTACCACTATTAGAGAATAAAAAAAAAATGTCTATAAATGTAAAATTTTATTTTGAAATTAAGCGGGCGTATGTCAAATGTCAATAATTTGTAGTGCCTGGGCTATAAAATGCCGCCATAAACTACCCAGCGACTCTGTTAAATTGGTCACCAACCGGCAAGATCACGCCCAAATATAAATGCTGGGTGACACTTATATATATATTTATATGGCAATTATTTATCATGCTATCCAATATTATTAGTATTTTGATAAATAAATTTTATGTACGAAACATTTAATATTGTTACTTTTGTTTATATTTATATGCCAAAAATACTATATATATAATTTATAAAATTTTAAGATCAACTATCCGATTCAACAATTGACCCGATGACCCAATTGTTGAACCGACGTGACCCGGAGATTGGTCCGAGGTCAATTCTCTGAGCCGAATTTGAAAACTGTGCTACAAAACAAAAAAACCATTAATTAATCAATTTTTAAAAATCATAAAAGTTAGTATAATTGCAGCTAAAATAAAAACTTCGTTAATGCGTCGATTCTAAAAAAAATAAGAACAAAGTACGAACGGTCAAAAGAAAAATGGGGCGTATTATTTCTTGAGATTATTATTTTAGGGAAATGCTACAATCATGTTACGGAGCGAACTTAAACTTTAGCTCAATCGGGAAATGCTAGAGTCCTGTTACGGAACCATTCTGTCGGGGTTTGTAACCGTTAAATCATCATGTAACCGTTGAGGATAGTTGATCTAACGGCTACAAACTTCGACGGAATAATTATGTAGCGGGACCATAGCATTTTTCATTACTTTAATGCGAACTTAAATTTTAGCTCAACCAACTTTGTTATAATTAATTAAGGTTAAATAAGAAAAACCAATTAAAGGTCAATAAATCTACATCCTATATAAATCTATATATCCAAGGAAGCCCACGCCGCCTATGTAGTTCTTAGTGGACTGGGAAAATTATTTTGTGGGCCAAGATGGCTGTGTAATTGTAGAATAAAAAAAGAGAGAGACAATTGTTTTTAGTAGCAGTCAGTTAGGCTATGTGACGGAGGCCCATACTTAGAGATGTTAAACAGGCTAGCCCTAGCGGTTACGGGCTAGCCCTAGCGGGCTTCGGGCTAAATGGTCCGGGCCTAAAAAGCCCGGATTTAAACGGGCTACCAATAAAAGGACCTAACCCTAACCCTAGCGGGCTTCGGGCTAAACGGGCTAAACGGGCTTTAATAATAGTATTAATAATAATGTATCAAAAAATATCAAAAGTAAAAAGAAAAAAATTATAAAAAATTACAACGACTAATTAACGATTGTTTTCGACGGTATTTATTATTTGCTGCTCTATATATACAACTACACATCATATATGAGCACATACTACAAACTCTTAAAAGAATATTTTTTTTTTTTAAAAAAGAAAACATATTCAAATTATTACTTACAATTACCATTTCACTACTTATATTTTGTACGCTTTGGAAATTTTTACGATATTATATCACTATAAATTCTATCACTATGTTTCATGTGTTAGGTCATTGTCTCATTTGTTTCCTATTAGTCGTTCTGATTGAGTTAAATATTTTGGTGTGGAGTACAATAAGAATATTGTTAATAATTATCTTTCAAAATCAATATAATCTGTTACAGCTCATACTTATATGTGAAGTGGAATAACAAAATTTTAATATACAATGAATCTAAGAGTATACTACTTACTTGCTGCAAATATTTACAACGCCCAACTTAAGTTAAACGGGCCAGCCCTAGCGGGTTTCGGGCTAGCCCTAACGGGCTTCGGTTTAAACGGTCCGGGCCTAAAAAGCCCTGATTTAAACGGGCTACCAATAAAAAGCCCTAACCCTGTTTTTTTCCGGGCTAAACGGGCCGGCCCGTCGGGCCAAGGACCATTTAACATCTCTACCCATACTAACAGATGAATATATTTGCAAGAGGAACTATATTGAGTTGCCGTATAGGCCCATTCCCTTTTTTTTTGTTTTTTTGCGACCTCACCACAAACTGCCAGTCATTGTCCGGTGAAAAGCTAGGAACTCGGCCTATCGGCCTAGGGGATTCACTCGTCAATGCATGAGACTAATGCCTCAGGAGGTGCAAAGTGCCCCATCCTTACACTCCACGATAGTTGGATCCGATCCCACAATCTCTGGCATCAATAGCAAATTAGCCTCCACCATCAATTACGGGACTACATGTCCCAGTGGCCCATTCCCTACTTCATTCAAATTTAGGACGTGTGCTCCGATCGATATTTTATATTTAATATTTTAGAGTAATAAGTATTTATATTATAAAATGTTGTTATTTATTTATATTAATTTTTATTGTATTACAGTTGAATTTCAAATTTATACTAATTATTATAATACTTTTTATAATATTTTTATAATACTTTTTATAATATTTTACAAACGCACCATGATGTAATAATATAATAGTGGTTTGCTATGCCGACAAACCATCCCTATTACTCTTATATTTAGGTATTTCTATTAATAACACACTTTTATGTTCTTGCTGTTTATATAGTATTTCAATGGTCCCGTGCACATTTATAATTTCATGTATTGGATGTTCATATATATATATTCGAGATATCAATGTTTTAGATAATTTACAGGCATTCAGTGCGTAATTCAACCGGTTTTGCAGCTTATTTGACAGTTTTAATAAATATTAATTAAATTTATTGTTATAACGTACAAAACCAACTCTAATTAATATTAAAATTGATTAAAATCTAATAAGAATTTAAATATATTAAAATTACGTGTAAAATTTTCAATTATGTAAAATGCTTGATAAAAATATTGTAAAATAAAAAAAAACACAAAAAAATAATGATATATCCTGTATTTGACAGTTAAAATTCCTAAACTTTTTTTTTTTTTTTTCTAATATAAAATCCAACTTTTCACGTTTTGTTCAGTGAACCGAACATTCCATCTGACTCCTTTGTAATATATTATTTTCGTTTTGGCAAAATAAAATAAAATAAAAAATTCCATCACCTAACAAGCTTCAAATTGATTGGTCAACCGAATAGTCTGATGTCTGAATTATATGTTAATATCATACGAAAATTAAAAACACACCAACTTTGATGTAAGGTTGTACAATAGTCAACACCAACTAACAAAACAATTTATTACTACCCTTAGCTAAAACGAGATAAAGCTAACTCCATCTAAATTCATAAATACATAAATAATAAATAAAAAAAAAAGCCTGTAATGTTTTGCCCTGTTTATTACAAACCTTCAACCTCACACTTCAATTTTGACTAAAACTGTACACTTTTTTGAGAGTACACTAGAAACAAACTGTATAAACTGGACACTCTTTTACAAAAAAATCTCCCTGGGACAAACACGAACTACACCGAAGGCAGGAGCCAGAGATTGAATAGCGACGAGGCTAACGATAAAAACCACGACAAGAAAGCCATAGCAGATGACAATTGGTATCTCGTACATAGCTTTGCATCACAAAACCCTTCCGAAACGAGCAAAAGGCTCGTCACGCTTGCCGTCGAGCACGATGCCGCTAACGACAAAAACGAGAGGGCCTACCGAAAGTTGTGCCAATAAATAAATAAATGATTTGGGATATTGCTATAGTTCTTAAGGGGGTATATAAATAAATAAATATGTGCACATAGTTGTGATAAAAAAAATAATAATAATATTGTTTAAATTATATTTACCCAATCTCCTATGACGACAATCGAGAGTACCCCGCGTTGACCGGCCGGACGCTTGACGAAAATCGAGAACACGTCGACCACCGCTAGTGTGAGGCTCCAAGGGATCACCAAGCCCATAATTGTCACTAAGAAGCTGCATATGTTGGAAATAATTTTGAAATATATATATTATATGTTGACTGGTTGTAATAAAGGGGCTAATTCAATTTCTATGCAAAGAGTTTTAGTAATCGAAGCAAACTATATGGCAATCCAACGAACAATACGGATTATCGCAATTTCGTGGGCATAGTTCTGATTCACAATTCGTATTTAGAATAAGTGTAAGTTGCAATGAAATCACTCTTGTTATTTGATGCCATTCTTAGTAAAGGTAACATAAGGTGCCAAATTATCAATCAAGTCGAGTCAAATAATCGACAAACAAAAACTAAAATCTTGCACACGACAATTAAAAGGAACGGGTAACGCTATTGTTAAGCAGCCTAACCATCACACAACCACACCTTGAAAAAGAAAAAAACGGACATAAAAAGAAGTATGATACCGAACGAGTCGACTCAACTAACGGTTAGGCTACCTACGAACATAGGAAGTTTGATAGAAGATGTTAGCACAGATTGACTGAACAAACTTGAACTAGTCTTCTCCTCACAAATTGACACAGTCAAATGTTCAAAAAAAAAAAAAAAAAAAA